TACCTCCAAACAACCTCTTAAAATTCTTGAATTTGACGATTCACACTTGAGAGCATGATATGACTAGTTAATTTTGTATTTGATTTTAGTTGAATAAATTGTTTTCAACTTTATTTTAGACTAAAAAATATTGAACATATTAATTTTTTTAGATTCTAAGAAAATAAGAGATGAAATAACAATCGCCAAACTTTACCTATATTTTTGTTACCTATCACTTTCTTTTTATAAATAATTTTTTATTTTATTTTAATCCTTTAATATTGTTAACTGGTATTCCAGCTACCTGTTAGCAATAGCAATACAAAACCCAAAGAATACGCCACAATGATCCCACGGCTGAAGAAAACAACTCTTCCGTACATAACCGCTTTAATCACACTCCTCACTGTGCGTGAGGATCCTCTAGAGTTTCTTCTCTAGAGTGATCTCTCTACAGTTGGATCAAATGGTTGATATTAAGGGATAGAAAACGATGTCCTTTTGATATTTGGAAAAAAAAAAAAACACATCAAACCATACGTTTGTCTCTGTTTTGTTCTTCTTTTTCTTCCCCTAAAACCTAGTTGCAGAATACAAATTGATGCCTTCAAATTATGGGTTATCTTCTAAAAGCTAAAATCATCAGTAATCAATGAGTTTTTCTTAGAGCATTGCAGTTCAAATTCAAGAAATTGATCGATTCAATCAGATTTACAATCAAAACAAACCTGGCTTACTTCTTCCCTGGGATTGGTGGTATCTACTATTGCATCATTGCTAGTCATTTCTTTAATCCCTGGAAGATTATACTCACCAGGAGGTTTATGTATGAAACGAGAAGGATGACCAAAAACTACAAAGCAATCCCACAAGGCAAACCCACTTCTGTTTTAATTTTTTTTTTATTAAATTTTGAATCAAATGAAAATGAATTTTGATCTGTGAGATCTAAATAAAAAAAGAAGATTAAATCAACACAAGCATCCTTCAATTTCTTCAAGTGCTCTTGCATTTTCTGTAAAATCAACACAAACCCATATATCTCTATATGCATATATGTATATTTACAGACCCCATGTATATATATATGTATATATATCTATATGTATATTTACAGATTGAATCAAATGAAAATGGATTTTGATCTGTGAGATCTAAATAAATAAAAAAGAAGATTAAATCAACACAAGCATCATTCAATTTCTTCAAGACAGAATCAAAGACGATGGAGATCGGCGAAGGAGATCAAAGACGACAGTGCAACTAAAGTTCAGCTCGTCGACGGATCTGTGGTGTGTTGGAGTGGCAACGGAGGAAGAGATTGAAGACGAAGGCAGCGACAGAAAGTCTTTTTTTTTTTTTTTTTTTTTTTTTTTTTTTTTTTTTTTTTTTTTTTTTTTTTTTTTTTTTTTTTTTTTTTTTTTTTTTTTTTTTTTTTTTTTGTGATGTAAAAGTGTGATCGGGGTTGATTCCCTGATATGAATAAAATGACAAGATTGGGAAAAGTTGTTGGTGTTATTTTGTGGTGTTGTTTTTTTTTTTTTTTTTTTTTTTTTTTTTGTGTAATTTGAAAAAAAAAAAAAAAAAAAAAACTCAGATTTCAAAACAGAGAGAAGGGCTGAGAGAAGAGAGAGAGAGAGAGAAGGGTTGATAGGAGAGAAGAGGAGGACGTCGCCGGCATGGCTCCGCCGCTGCTGTGGAGATCTGGAAGACTTTCAGTCGCTGCCTTCGTCTTCAATCTCTTCCTCCGCCGCCACTCCAACATACCACAGATCCGTCGACGAGCTGAACTTTAGTTGCACCGTTGTCTTTGATCTCCTTCATCGAGCTCCATGTTCGCCGATCTCCATCGTCTTTGATTCTGTCTTGAAGAAATTGAATGATGCTTGTGCCGATCTCCACATCGTTTTCTATCCCTTAATATCAACCATTGGATCTAACTATAGGGAGATCACTTTAGAGAAGAAACTCTAGAGGATCCTCACGCAAGTTGGGAACTTCACCCTCCATGTGTTCCTCCAATCATATTCATTTATATGATAAATTTAAAAAATTGTTTGATAAAATTTAGGTGATAAATTAAAATAAATTATTTAATATGTAAATTATTAAATTGTGTGTGTGTGTGTGTGTTTTTTTATTATTTTTTTTATAACAATTTTCGTTTAATTTTTATATTGGTGGTGGTGGTGATGCAAGTGGATAAAATGGCAATAATAATGACGAGTGTGGTGTTAGTGGAGAAATAGTGGTTGTCACGGTGAGTAAATGATTTAGGAGAAATTCTATTTACTATATATTTATATACTGTCAAATCTTTCAATACACACTATATATTTTTGTAATTTTTTTTTATTACACTTATATCTCTTTATCCAATTACTATTTTGGACTTACGTTTAAACCCTAACTCTCAATATACATCTTTTGGCACCATTACCTACCACCAGCCTCTGCTGCTTGATTTCCAACTTCGGCCATTGTCACGGGCACCCACCACTATGACCATCCTCGCTAGCTACCATTGCAGCTCCACAATCTTCCTATTTCCTTGTCTCACTGCTTCTCACCCCAGTTACCACCACTTTTACAACCACTCACTCGTCGTCGACCCCTTTCCCCACTTCAAGTTTTGAAAAGAAGAAACTCACTCAACAATGAGTTTCACTATTTCAATAGTTTTTAGTTCTTGTTCATGAGACCACGTAATATATTCAAAGCCCATGCATAGTTATTGGTATACTCGAACTGTAAATATGCAGAAGCTATTAAAATGTCATATCTATGGAAGTCACACCTACAATCTCAAGTAAGGGAAAACCATACATGTTGGTCTTATATGTGCAGTCCATAGTCAAGACACGTGAAAATGCATGAACCAAATCTAAACTGAATGGATGAGCCCAAAAGAGGTCAGTGACAACCGTGGTGTTCTGTTCACATCTATGCCATTCAATGCATTCATGCTTTGCTAACTTCCCCAACAGTTATTGCATTTGTGATCTCCCAGCCTTCTCTTTCACTTTAAATCTATGACCCACATTATAAATTGTCATCATTGTGGTTACATTCAACGCATCCCTGTATTTCAATGTAACTAAAATCTCTTTTGGTCTCACCATATTTTTAGACATATCCACCAACAATTCATTTTCTTGGTGTGATAATCTCTCCAAATATGAATACCCTTCAAGATGATTCACAACTGGATGATTATGTACTCCACATACTACATGCAACATTCAATCGTTGTTAGTGCTTAATTTCTCACCCTTTAGCAAGAATGGACATTCACACTTTTTGGTCCTGATCATCCTAGCATTTTCATCATGAGAATAAACTTTAACCTTCTTTTTCTGTCTATACTTTCCACTCCTTTCACATGCTAGTTTAATTCTTGGTACCCAACGACTGCCACCAGAATCTGAATATTTCACAATTATAACAAAACCATTTTTCTTGCCAACATCGCATGCCTAGTCAATCATTGCTTCTCTGCTTTTAAATATGTACATTAACCATATTAGCTTATAGTTAGCACAAATATAAATTTAAAGATTAATTAAAGAAGTAATTGGCAATGGTAATACTACCTCGTATGTGGTAAATTCACTAGTGTAATTTAATATGCATTCAGCATGCTCCACATTCTCCAAAATGGAATTCTATAGGAAAACATCAAAAGACCAAAGTCATATTGTTTGGACATACAAGGTCAAACAAAGGAAAAAAAGTTCGTATTTTACTCATATTGTTTGGACATATGGAGATGAACAAGGTGACAATGTTTGGACATACGAAGCTGAATATTGTCACATTGTTTGGCAGTGTACTTTCAGAACCGAACAATAATGATGAAAAATAGATTGAATATTCGCTTTTATGTATAAAAAAAAATTGAGAAAATGAAACCAAATATTAAAATAATTAATTACAAACTAATATATAAATTTGAATGCAACGAAACTGATAGAGAAACTTAACCTCAATGGAGATTGCGAGAAAATAGATGTTCGTTTTTTTCTTAACATCAACCATTGAGATCCAAAAGGTTGGCTGAGCTAAAAGTAATAAATAGTAAATTTATCTACAATGGCAGAGCCATTCAATAAATTATCATTAAAATTATTATGTCAAAATTTTAATTACGCACAAACTTATCAAATTCAACTTTTACATGATAAATTATTCACAAGAATGCTCGTGGAAAAGTAAAAATCAAATTTATAAACACATAAGCATCGACCAAACTTATAAGTATCAGGTACTAACAAGAAAGAGTAATTCTCAAATAATGTACTATTTAAATGATAAAATAAGAATAACTCCAGTAATATGTCATTGTTAATCTAACTAGTGGGCTCTTTAATTTTTGTTAAAAAAATGATATAGAAAATAATTGATAGTACTCTACAAAAATTGTGAAACCCCCTTATATGAATACTTACCTTCTCTTTGATGGGTTGTTCCAAAAAAACTATCTTAATTATTACTCTCATCCATTGTTTGATTTTGTTCAACCTTTCTTCTAGGGTTTAGGATTTCAAAATAATAAAAAACAATGATGTTGATAATGATGGTGAGTTTAGGTAGCGTGTATTGAAGTTTTGGAGGGGGGAAGAAGAAGAAGAAATAACTTTGATCTCTTGGGAAAGAAGATACAGAGATTTGAATAGGAATAATTGATCAGGATGTACCATAAGACAAAAAAATATTATTATATGTACTGTCCTTATTAGTTAATTCATACTAGGATATAATAAAAATAAAAATTTATGAATTTAAATTAGACGTACTGACATATATTTTAGATTCAAATAGAATCCCCGTCGGATGAAGCTTGCTTGAACTTGAGTTAAGATTTGAAACTTAGCCCAATCACTCGTGAGCTAACTCTTGAATCTGTTATAAATTAAAAAACAAAAAAAAGAAAAGAAAAGAAAAATACATATATATATATATATATATATTGATTCATTGGAAGTTCAGAACAAACAGAAAAAAAGAAAAAGAAGTTACTACATGACACAAAGAGACCAAGCTCTCATCTCACTAACACCAGTGATATCAGCTATAAGCAGGGCCGTCAAATCCTTAGGAGGATGATCAAGCACCACAACATGTTCATCCTGTGTAACTCTTATATTGGCAAGCTGATTTAAACATATGTTTCCTTCTCTAGGTGTGTACCTCAGTGAGCAGTTACATCTTTGTAGGAGGAATTTTGCATCTTCAATGAGAGCTTGATAGGGTGAGTTATGGCATGGGCCATCTTGGATTTGGTTGATTGCTAGTTCTGAGTCTGACTCAATTGCCACCTCCTTGGTGCCTTTGTGAAAGAGAATAGTGCGGCTCTTGTATATACCCCATAGTTCTGCCTCCAGACTTGAATAGTGACCCAAGTTTCCATAGAATCCTCAAATCCATATACCATATTCATCATGCAACATGCCACCATAGACAGCTTGACCTGGATTCCCTTTTGAGCAACCATCAAGATTGAGTTTCAGTTTACTTGCAGGAGGAGAATTCCATTTAATTAGTGAAGGGTGAGATGGACTTGGGTGAAGGGCTGACTGGAATGCCTCATTGATCTCATGAGCATAATTTCTTATGTTCTTGAGACTAACTTGAATGGGAGTGAATTGATTTTCAAAAACAAGTTTGTTCCGATCTTTCCAAATCTGTCAGATTACAGAGATGAAAATAACATGCCAAGTTTGACCAAAAAACAGACTTTTATTTTTCAGATTTGTTGTAACCTATTCAAGGAAAGGCTGGCAGCAACCCTCCTCCCACCAGTTGGGGTCTTGAATTTCAAACCAAACAGCTTTGGAGAAGCTGCATTTTCTGAGTAGATGGTCCATGTCTTCACTATCTGAACCACACTTGGAACAGATATCAGAAGTAGTCATATTTCTCACCAATCTCATATGGTTAGTAAGTAGTCTCCCCTTAAGAACCAGCCAAATAAAACTCTTTAGTTTTTGGGGGACTTTGATTTTCTGTAGCCAAGTCCAATTTCCTTCATCAATGGTCTGATTGGAGATGATCTTGTAAGCAGAAGCAGTGGTGTAATTACCACAGGTCGATCCAACCCAGAAAAGGGTATCAGTGAAGGTTAGAAATCTATGTCTATGAAGTTTAAGAATCTCTTGAATAGCTTGGGGACTGACTAGGTCATTCAGGGCATCAATTTCCCACTTGCCCTCATTATCAAGGATTGCACTAACTGTCAGTTGGAGTAGTAGACCAAACCTTGCGAGTAATTAGTGTATTTTTTTTTTGTGGACCTAATGTTTTGGAAAGATTGCATTGCTAAACATGAAACTCAACACAAACAATTTTTTAATAGAAAAATTATTCATAAAATTTTCAGGAAAAAGGACAAAAATTTAATGGCTTACATTTAGGGGATTTTTTTTTAAGGTCCCTGGTATTAAGATTTTATAGCATAAAGAATACTCAATATTTTTATAATGTCTAAGGTCCCTCAACATCGATCTAGAGAAAATTCGATACAGAGAATTTCTCTGGACACATCACAGAAAAAATTCTAAATTTCTTTAGACATATCACAGAGAAAATTCCAAACAGGGCAAAGAAAATTGAAATTTCACTAGATTCAAACTCTTTTAACATATATTGCAAACAAGTCAGAATCTTTCAAACCCCAAACATATGTAATCTCATGATGAGCTTAAAATTTACTCAAAACCAAACCATTGCACATCATGGTTGGTGAGCATTGAAACCAAGAAATATACACAAACAAACTACAGATTTCCAAACAAGAGAATTTCTCTGGTCCAAACTAGAGAAATTCAATCCATACCAGAGAATTTCTTTGGTTTAAACCAGAAAAATTTGGTGAGGATGAGAAGAGAGGGATTGAAGAGAAATAATCAAACACTTGGCACATATAAACATGGAATGAACATTTCAATCCAGAGAAAATTGTACTACTAGAGAAAAGTTCAATCCAGAGAAAATTGTACAACTAGAGAACAACATCGATCTAGAGAAAATTCGATACAGAGAATTTCTCTGGACACATCACAGAAAAAATTCTAAATTTCTTTAGACATATCACAGGGAAAATTCCAAACAGGGCAAAGAAAATTGAAATTTTACTAGATTCAAACTCTTTTAACATATATTGCAAACAAGTCAGAATCTTTCAAACCCCAAACATATGTAATCTCATGATGAGCTTAAAATTTACTCAAAACCAAACCATTGCACATCATGGTTGGTGAGCATTGAAACAAAGAAATATACACAAACAAACTATAGATTTCCAAACAAGAGAATTTCTCTGGTACAAACTAGAGAAATTCAATCCATACCAGAGAATTTCTTTGGTTTAAACCAGAAAAATTTGGTGGGGATGAGAAGAGAGGGATTGAAGAGAAATAATCAAACACTTGGCACGTATAAACATGGAATGAACATTTCAATCCAGAGAAAATTGTACTACTAGAGAAAAGTTCAATCCAAAGAAAATTGTACAACTAGAGAAAAGTTCAATCCAGAGAAAATTGAACAACCAGATAAAAGTTCAATCTAAAGAAAATTGAACAACTAGAGAAAATTTCAATCTAGAGAAAATTGAATTACTCAAACACCAAAAATAGAGACAAATAGATACCAATTCCATAAGCTTGAGAACCAGAAAACTTGTTAGGCTAAGTCCTCAGTGATATTTGAAATTTCAATATTCGGATTCGAAAGAGACACATTCTTGACTTCAATCTTCGGATCTCTAGAAATGTTAGCAAATACTCCACTACCATCAACAAAGGTCTTGGGGAAAATCTTTGGATGTCTGGACTTCACAGAGAAATTCTGGTTCAGATAAACTCTGGTTCACAGAGAATTTCTCTGGTCGAATTTTCTCGGGACTTCATATAGAAATTCTCTCCAAATCAGAGAAATTTGGTTTAGGGTGGGCAACATGGTCAACTGAGATTCGTTCTGCTTCTACTGTCTCAATAGTGTAGCTTGAATGGATAAAAATAAACTGCGGAATCCCATCTATGACGTGCAGTTCACTTTCATATATAGTCACTAGAAGATCCTGCTGTGCATGATTGATTGAAGGGTTGAGAAGAACATACACGGGGCTTTCATTAATATCCATCAAAGCTTTGTGTATCTGCATATCTGCTTCTTGGGTTTCACTTCCAATTGAATACCATCATAATATATAGAAATTGGGAAATACTTTCTTATAAAGTTCTTGCTTTTTCTCGAGGAAGGGTCAATCGAGAGAATGGGTAGAGGGTTTGGAGAGGAGCTTGAAGCTGTTGAAGATCTTGACCGTGGGTTCCCTTTGGATGCCGATGACGCAGTTAAAGACCCTCGGCGGGGGAGGCGAAGTGGTTGCTTCGCCGCCTTTGGTGGCGGCTTGAGGTGGTTATGATTAGGACTTAAGACGAGTGTAGTGATCGGAGATGTTGAGGAATACGAGTGGGTGGAGCTTGAATGTCAGTTCGCTACTCGATGACGATACCATTCTTATCTCTCCTATCTCCGATGATCAGATTAGGTCAGATCGACTTCATTCTGCTTTTTTATGGTTGATTGATTCCCAGTATATAGAAATTGGGAAATACTTTCTTAATATCAAATTTATCTATGATAGATGGGTGTGAGTTGAGGGACCTTAGATATAAAAAAAATAATATTGTAGATCTCTTCTATTACTAAAAATAGAAAAAGGGATCTTAAATTAATTTTCCCTTACATTTATTTTAAATATGACATTTATTTTTATTAATTATAAATTTATACCATACATTCACTTCTCAGATAAAATTCAAAATAAAATTTCATAATTCATTATATTTATACCACCATCCTATACTTCTCCCAAATAAATCCCTAAACGATGAAATCTATCCCAAACTTGCCTTGAAGCACATGTTAGCAATAAACACGGAAAAGTCCAAAGAATACGCCATGGTGACCCCACATCCCCAAAAAAAGAATTACTCCGTACATAACCGTTTTTACTTTGAATTTGAACCCCCTATAATATTCCCACTCAACTACTCGTATGCCTTTTACTTGAGTCTCTTTTTAATTAAAAAAAAATCTCATGAGTTTGGAATTTTGACATATGTCCCTCAAATCATATTCATTTATGTTACTTTTTCTGTTATAAAATATTTTAGTCTTTTATTTTATTTTTTATTATCTTAAAATATGATTTTTTTTCAAAAATTAAGAAATAAAATAATATAATTTTTTTATTTTACTCTTTTTTTAAATTCATTAACAATAATATTTTTAAAAAAAATGTACTAATAAATGATAATTTTAAAAAATTAATATTTGTAAAGTATAATAATTATACTATAAAAAAAAATTAGATTTCCCCAAAAGAACCATGATTTTGAAACGGAGGGATTATCATTTTGTTTTTATTTTTATAAAAAAATAAAGAGGGTAAATTACACTACTTTTTTTATGAGCACTAATGAAAGTTTTAAATACAATTATATTGATATTTTTTTAATAAGAAAAAATGAAAAAGAATTAATGCAAATGATTTGAAAATATAATAATAAACAAATAAAAAAATATTTTTTTGTGAAAAAAATAATATTTTTTTATCCACATGCAGTTTATTGAGTTTATTTTGAGATTCATTTCGATTATTTCTGAAAAATTTAAAAATTCCCTAGATATGGATTTGTGATTATGTATTAATTTTAAGCAGTAAATACCAATCTCAATCAAACAATCAAGACAAATCGACACAACGATTTTACGTGAAAAAATCACAATTGGAGTGCTTCCAATTGTGATAAAAAAAAATCACGGGCAAAAGTCGCAAAACAATCCACTAAGAAGACATAAAGGAATTACACAAGTGTACTTTCAATTACCTAGCGAATTTATGGCCGAATCGAACCGACCCCTATGTGCCTCTTCCAACCCTGTCTTCACCTCAGAATTGTCTTACACAACGTTGAATCCAGTTTATTGAGTTTATTTTGAGATTCATTTCGATTATTTCTGAAAAATTTAAAAATTCCCTAGATATGGATTTGTGATTATGTATTGATGAAATCTATCCCAAACTTGCCTTGAAGCACATGTTAGCAATAAACACGGAAAAGTCCAAAGAATACGCCATGGTGACCCCACATCCCCAAAAAAAGAATTACTCCGTACATAACCGTTTTTACTTTGAATTTGAACCCCCTATAATATTCCCACTCAACTACTCGTATGCCTTTTACTTGAGTCTCTTTTTAATTAAAAAAAAATCTCATGAGTTTGGAATTTTGACATATGTCCCTCAAATCATATTCATTTATGTTACTTTTTCTGTTATAAAATATTTTAGTCTTTTATTTTATTTTTTTATTATTTTTAAATATGATTTTTTTTTCAAAAATTAAGAAATAAAATAAAATAATTTTTTTATTTTACTCTTTTTTTAAATTCATTAACAATAATATTTTAAAAAAAATGTACTAACAAATGATAATTTTAAAAAATTAATATTTGTAAAGTATAATAATTATACTATCAAAAAAAATAAATTTCCCCAAAAGAACTATTATTTTGAAACAGAGGGATTATCATTTTGTTTTTATTTTTATAAAAAAATAAAGAGGGTAAATTACACTACTTTTTTATGAGCACTAATGAAAGTTTTAAATACAATTATATTGATATTTTTTTAATAAGAAAAAATGAAAAAGAATTAATGCAAATTATTTGAAAATATAATAATAAACAAATAAAAAAATAATATTTTTTTATCCACATGCAGTTTATTGAGTTTATTTTGAGATTCATTTCAATTATTTCTGAAAAATTTAAAAATTCCCTAGATATGGATTTGTGATTATGTATTAATTTTAAGCAGTAAATACCAATCCGAATCAAACAATCAAGACAAATCGACACAACGATTTTATGTGAAAAAATCACAATTGGAGTGCTTCTAATTGTGATAAAAAAAATCACGGGCAAAAGTCACAAAACAATCCACTAAGAAGACATAAAAGAATTGCACAAGTGTACTTTCAATTACCTAGCAAATTCATGCCCGAATCGAACCGACCCCTATGTGCCTCTTCCAACCCTGTCTTCACCTCAGAATTGTCTTACACAACGTTGAATCCACAACGCCGATGTCGAATCACGACAATGAGCCACTCTAGAATCCACCAAAACTTCAGGCCCAAATTCTCCAGAATTCATCGAAGAACAACTTTATCTTTTTTATTGGATAAATAAAACAAACAAACCCTTTGATATAATTCACTCAATTCATGATTGAAACTCTCACAAATATCAAAGGAAACAAGCAAAGAATCTCCAGAAGAAAACCCTAATACCCAAGAAGAAGATCTGGAAGCCATACCATAAAATCGGACTGAAACACAAATTTATAAAAAATAGATCCGTGATCTTCGCTTTAGTGCAAGAATGGCCGCTCGAGTGTAGGAAGGGCCGCTCGAGCGGAAAAAACAACTTCTAGTACTTTTGCAGGCAAGTAAAATTTTTGAAAGGTCGCGATCTCCGCTCGAGTACAAGAATGGCCGATCAAGCGAAAAAATAACTTTGAATGAAATTTTGCTTTTTGCTTCAAGAGTGCTACCCTCGAACCCGCTTAGGGGCTGCCCCAGACCCGCCAAGGGGCGCTGATCTCCAACATAGTCAGCGAAGTGGCAAACAAGATAGGATTAAGATCACAAACTCCTCTGCATAGGCACAATTCAGATTGGATTCGTATCTAAATACTCATAGCCGCACTTAAATAAAAGATCGAATAAAATTACAACTGAAAGGAGTTTTGTCAAACGGGATTGCCAAAAACAAAAACCTAACACGTTCAATTTTTATAAAAAGAAAATCAAATTAATCGAATATCGATTAACCCTAAATAAGTTCAAATTATTGAAAAAAGCTCTAACATGGGCCAAGTAAACTACGCAATAGGCACCTCAAACCCTTTATGACATGATATAATTATGTTAAAATTATGAGACTTGTTACTAATTTTTTTTAAAGCTCAATAAGTGTGTGAGTTTGGCAACAAGCCAAATGCGTTATCTATTAGTTTATTGACTTATTTTTGTCACATTATTTCTTTATTTTTTTTATATATTTTCTTAAAAAATTAAAAAATAAATCATATATAAATTCACCCTAAATATCAATACACTTTACTGAAATAATTATTGTACTTTATTAATAAACGGGATTTAACATTCGTTTGGGATGTGAGTTGGCTTTTTGACATTTTAGTTATTTTAGCCTGGGTTAAAAAGTCTCGTTTGGGATGAGTGTTTGGATTTTTTAACTTTTGTGATAGAAAAATGAAATGATTATGATTTGGATAAGACATCTTGTTTTTATTGATTTTTTAATTTATTTTATTTTTTTATGACTATTTTAATTCAAAAAATTTATACCAAACATAGCCTTAATAATGAAAGCAATGACTGAGACCCTCGCACGACCCCCACAAATCTGAACCATTCATGATGTAGACCCCACATATATATGAGTGGACCTTACACATACATGGAGGGTCAGGATCACTTTAGGGGTGTAGAAGTTATCCCCAAAGGGTCTCAAACATTTTCCTAATAATAAAGATATGAATGAGCTGCCTTCGAGGTACGAGTGGGAAAAAGGTGAAACCAACTCTTAAGAGAGAGGTGCTAAGAGCAGGTGACTTCAAGTGTCGAAAACTATTGGCAGAACTTTATTGGAGATATAGACAGCTCTAGTCTCTCTCTCTAGAAATAGAGGTATGTGCGAT